GTGATCAGGTTCTACAGCTCTAATTGAAGTTTCATCATCTCATCTCCGTCACATGCCTCATCCACGGGCTCTCCTCCATCAGTCGCAGCACTGGCGGATCGAGTCAAGCCGCGATACACAGAACCATGTTTTCGACGTTGAGAGATAGACTACAGGACCGTTAATATATGTCCTACTGTCATCAGTTTATGTTTTCTGAGGCCCGGCCACCGAGACTCACCGCGTGTAGCCAACTAGCCACGCGCTGCCGTCACCATCGGTTTGACCCGCCCGCCCATGCCGCGCCTTCGGCTTTCGGGATGACACCATAATCTTTACAGGGGACCGCAAGGATACGATGATAAGAAATCGCGTATCGGTTACCCAGGCTCATGGACAGTGATTTAAACAAGGCGGACCGCTCGGAACTTGTCTATTCACACAGAAGTAGGACGAATCTCGGCTAGTTGTCGAAGCTTGCATGCGCCTTGAAGTTGTATATCGAATAATTGAAGACGGTGACAACCTGTCACATAGTTTGCTGAAGGTAAAGAAAACATACGACATCTAGCTGGCATATTGGACTGTGAGATGAGATATTCGAGGCACATGGGCAAGAAGCTATTCATGAACCCAGGTGGGGGGATCTGAAGGCCTGTCATATGTATACCCAACTATCAAACTTCCCGAACCTCCTGCATTCTTGATATGCATTGCATTCTCCCATTCCACGCATTATCTAATACTCTTGCATGTCGATCATCGAAGCAAGCCAAGTTCAGAACGCTGTCTATGTCGTCGCAGGACTCTCCTCTTACGGAATAGGATACTTAACATCTCCTAGCACTGACCCTCTGGAATGGACTCTGTTCTGCTGGCAACAACGTCGTATTCCCAGGAGAATACCCAAATGATGTTATTGGGTGCCAAAAGGGAAGGGGAAAGAGAAAGGTGTAACCCATATCATAGCCACGTCAGTTCCGTCAAAGACATGACGACGAGAATAAAGACCTTAGACCTTTTAGCGACTTCCACCAACGTCAGCGTTTTGGTAGGCGCGCTGTCGAAGAAGAAACTTGGTTCTCCACTGGCTTGTTGTTGGCTTACAACAAAAGTGATCTCAATCTGAAGAGAGTTATTCCGGTTTCGTGGTGTAGTTGGTTATCACGTCAGTCTAACACACTGAAGGTCTCCGGTTCAAGTCCGGGCGAAATCATTTCCTTTTGCTTTCCGATACCAATCACTTCGCGATGCTATCGACATGATTTTTGACATTGCCAGAATTATTTGAATGTTGTTGGGGAATGTTCTTTCAAAGTTCAGCCACCCGCCATTTAGACTTTTGTCTTTTTTTTTTTTTTTTTCTTTTTCTTTTTCTTGGAGTCAACGCTCGACAAGCCACTCCCGTGCCACATCATCCGAAAGCCCAATGTCGGAGGAAATCGTAATAATTCAATTATTATTTCGGTATTGCTAATTCGATTAACTAGGTCTCGATGCTATCAATCCGCGCTCGTATTTTCCCGAAACAAAACAGATCCCTGTGGTTCTCGCATGCCTTCGCTCTCATTCGGTTGTTTTCTTCGCATCGTCGCCACCCTCAGCCGTCTCCAGCTGGCCGGTCCCAGCCGCTGCTTGTGCAACCTCATTGCCAGCAGCCTCAGCTCCTGGGGCCGATTGACCCTCGGCTTTTCCATCGCCAGCAACCTCCACCTCGGGCTTCTTGTCGCTTTCAACCTTTGCAGCGTCCTTCGCACCAGCAGCCGGCGCCTGTGACGGTGTCGACTTTCTAAAGATGTTAACGCTCGGCAGTGACCAGCCCTTCTTCTTGCTGTCGTCGGCGGCCGGCTCGGCAGATTGAGACTCGAGTTGACCGGTGGCTGCGGCCGCTTGCGCAGTCTCGTTGCCGACAGCGTCGCTCGCAGTCTCTTGATCTTCCTTCTTGTCGTCAGCGACAGCTGGATCGGTCTTCGCAACATCGTCTCCCGTCTTGGCGACATCTCCAGCCTCGGCCGCCTTCTCAGCCTCTGGCTTCTCCCCGTCAGCCGGCGCTTGCGAGGGAGTTGACTTTCTGAAGATGTTGACGCTAGGCAGCGATGCCTGTCCCAAAGAGGAGACAGAGGCGGGAACCTTGGGCATATTTGGCATGTTCGGCATATTGGGCATACCTGGCATACTGGGCATACCAGGAAGCCACCCCTTGACGCCTGTGCCTGTTGACTGCGCGATGCGGAAGAGGTGCTGCATGTACGTCCGCTTTTCCTCGGTAGTCATGTTCTCCGGGTTGATATCGCCGACCAAATCTCCCTCGCCGTCGGCAGGGAGAGGCACAAGCGAGGCGGCAGCGGCGATGTCAATAGGCGACTCATCGGGCATCTCGTCGTCCGCCGACTTTGACGCTTCCTTCTCATCGAACTTTTCGTCAAGCTTATCGTCTGACTTGTCTTCCGGTGCTTCGGTATTGGAAATTGCCTTTTCCAACGTTTCCTCGACCTCGGCGTCCTCTGCGACCTCCTCAGGCGGCGTCTCGCGGAACTTGGCGTCGTCAACAACCGGCTCCTCGCTCTTGAACCAATCAATCACGAGGTTTGCCGCCTGGTCTGTCATCTTCTCGTACCCCTTGTGCTTCGCAGGCTGGAACATGGCCATGTGTGCGGCCACCTCGTCGTCAACCTCTGGCAGAACCTGGCGCGAGAAGAGCGACGAAGCAGGATGGCTCTCCTCCGGCACGGCGCAGAACGTCCGCTCCGGGACAAAGTAGCCACCCTGCCAGTACCCATTCTCGCCTAGCGACGCATAAAAGTCGTGAATGCCAACACCCTTGAGCGCGCCCATTCGCTCGAGGCGGCGGTTGAGTTCCTTCTGCTTCATGAGCGCGCCGACGAAGGTGAAGTGGTCCGACAGCCACGCAAAGGATTGGCCAACGTTGCCGCGATTGATATACGCCAGCCCCTGGCCGAGGGCATCGACGCTCTGCTGGTAGCCCTCCTTGACGGAGTTCTTGTTGAGGCCCTTGAGGCTCTTCATGATGGCCTCGCGGTTGACGTAGGCGGCGACGCCGCCGGCTGCGATGGCGCCCACGGTGCCTGTCCTCACGGCAACGAGCTGCCACGTCTTCCAACCGGGGTTGCGGGTGGCGGTAGTTGTCACGGCCGAGGTTGCGGCGCGGCGGGTTCCTAGGCGAGCGAGAGTCGAGGGTGCGGCGGCCGAGAGGGCCGTCATGACGTTGAAGACGCTGCTGACCTTTTGGTAGTTGGAGAAGCCGCCGTAGACGAACATGGAGCGGGCGAGACCATTATAGGGGGTGTCAAAGGTGAGGATGCCCTGGATGAGGGGGAAGATTGGGTCGTCTTCTGACGGGTTGGACTGTGCTCGCTCGTTGATGGCGAGGAAGAGTGAATCTGCGGCGACGAAACCTCTAAGGTGGCATTAGTCTTTGATCATCTTTGGAAAGGCAGACCTTTCGACGGTGCCTACCCCATAGAATGGGCGACGAGAACGACTCCGACTTCTCTGTCTTTTGGTGGCCAGGGTTTCTCTACGCTGGCTTTTCTGACATCCATGACCCTCTCCTTGAGCCTACGTGGTATTAGATTACTTCACGGTAAAGACGACTGCGAGTGATAAGTAGACTGACCATGCGAGAAACGCCTCGGTGGCCTGCGCCAGCTCGCCCTTGGTCTCATACTGAGGGTACACAATGGACTCGACACGATGATCCGGGAGCTGCTTGGTGACTGATCGCTTCAGGTCCTACATCAGAAGCATTAGTATGGAAGGGAAAGAAATCGGCGCGCAGTGTCGGGACAGTCTCACATCTGGAAAGTCATGAAATGTGTCTTCGTTCCCCTTGTAAAATTTGTACTTGTTAGCTGCTTGCTGTGCCGGCGCATCGATGGCTTGCTGTTGTTGCTGACTACTCACTTTGAAGCCATGGATGAAACACAGAAGCAGTGTCCGAGGCATGATGGAAGATTACCAAAGGTATTTTAATTTAGGGTACGGTAGGTAGTAGGGATTTGAGAAACAATTAGGTATATCGGATAGGTGAAAACTGACAGGAAAGTAAGTAGAGTAATGCTAGGTATTTCGTAGGTAAAGGGTATCATGAAGGAGAACACATCCGTAGCAGCCAAGAAAGGACGACTGGTGCTCATGGAGTAATATCCCGCATCTTCCCTTCCCCTCTCTCCCTCCTTCTGCATTTCTCTTCCTCTCTCTTACACCACCAAGCGGATGAATGACCAACCAGACAGTCCATGCAGAGCAGTGACGATTGACTGAGCGGTTCGTGCATGTGCAACGCCTTCCCTCCCCTCCAGTGCAATTTGTTCCAGGTTTTTCCCAGCCACACCTTCTCCTCTGCGAAGCTGCGAAAGTTGCGTGGGCGCGTGGCGAGTGCGTCGTCGCCGGGAGCCAATGGCACAGGGCGCAACTTTGGCCAAGACGTCACCGACGACGTCATGTTGCCGCACCTCGAACTTTTGACGTCGGGGCCTCTCATCTCACCCTTCACTCACGGGTTCACTCACACTCTTCACTCGCACACTCACTCACCCTCTCTCACACTTTCTCAGCCACTCACTCACGGTTTACTCACTCACATCACCCCCATCAGCTTGGGTCTGGGCACTTTCTCACCCACATCAACCCATCCATCCCAGTCCATGTCCAATACCTCTACTGTCAAATCACAGCCCTGTGATAGATACTCACCTTCCACCTTCTGCAAGGCGCGGCACGTCACATTGAAAGTCAAATAGACGAGCCCGATGCAGATCCGCATAGCTGGGTGCCCCTCCGGTGGGATTGGCTGGTCCTCCTCCACGTGCGATCCAAGATCTTCAGCTCACGATCGCATCGATGCATGGCCCCCCGGCCTGTCAATGTGAAGGATTTCCAAGATTTGCTCCTATGGTATCTTTGATTTTGATGGATTCCAGGAATTCGGCTCTGATATGATCCACCCTTGTGACTTACGTTCTCACCACCATCACTGTCATCCCAACTCATCATCCCTCTCACTCCGCTGTAATGGTCTTGTTCTTCAAGTATCCAAACGACAACGTCGGATCAAACTTCCCAATCACCGTCTCATTCGCCGCAGAGCCATAATCCCACACGGTGTAAAAGTTTCTCAAAAACGGCGTCCCAATCAGCACGAACCCAGACTGCGCGCCATCCTCGAACGGAGGCCAGCACGCGTCATCCCGGTACGCGAAACCCGGTCTCGCCAACTGGTCGCCCGGGATCTCAATCGTCTGTGGGTACCGGTAGTCACCAAAAGTAAACTTGAACGACCACGACGAGTTGAACTCGCTGCAAAGCGGAATGTGCTCGCCCTTGAGGATCTTGGTGTAGTTCATCCCGATAGACTCGTACACGGCCAGGTTCTGCTTCGTCGGTAGCGTAATGGACCCCGCTCCTGTGTCGAAGACGACGCGCGCCTGATCGAAATCCGCCTCCGTCTCGATGACGCTGCCGTTGCTCGTCGTCCGCGTGCCGTTGACCTTGAGGATCGTCGACCGCCAGACATCGTAGGTGCCGTCCACGCGGGTGATGGGGATCGTGACGAGGTCGCCGTCAACATACTCATCCTCGCGGGAGCCGCCAATCGTCAGAACGCCATCGCCGGGCACGCCGCTCGTGTTCTTGGCCTCGGTGCCGTAGTAGATTCCAAATTTGGCCGCGTCGAGGCGGTTCTCCGCCATGAGCGTCTCGACGACAGTGTTTGCGCCGCCGTCGATGATGGAGCTGAAGCCGAGGCCCATGAAGCCGTCGGCGGCGAGCGCAGCCCAGTTGCTCTCGTTTGCGGCGATGAAGGACTGGTCCCAGGAGAAGTTGCCGACGGTCCATTTCTCGGCGACCGTGGGGCCGGCGACGTCGCCTCCGAGGTAGGGGATTACGGCGCTTTCGCCCGTGTAGTGGCCGCTGGTTGAGGCGTTGATGCTGTAGCCAGTTCTATCATATCTGCCATTCCACGTATCAGTGAACCTGAAGGATTATCATGCCCAGAGAGTATGGTTTGAGACACGCACCCGCTCCCGTTATTGCAATTCCCCCTGGCCAGACATTGGCTGTCGGTCGCCCACGAAGACGAGCTTCCCGTATCGAAGAGCAGACGGAATGTCTTTGCTGGGGTCCCGATGCCAAACTCGACAACTTTCTGTGATGAATGTGTGAGTACTAAATCTCATTGCCAAACCTTGCAGGTGAGACTCACGTAGCCATTGTCGACAATGATGCCCAGGTCAAGCACAGCCGCGGTCGCAACAGACGCGACCGCTGCCGCCGAGAAGAAACGAGTAACGGGCGACATGTTTCCGAGGATCTGAAAACTGACGTATCCAAATGATTGACAGAACGTGCAGCGAGAAGGGGGCGATCAGATGAACGGCCCGACGGGATAGACGTGCCATCTTTAATAGCAGAGCTTATTTACTTCGATGTGCCCATCGTCCCGCATTATGGCGATCATTTGCAACCTCGTAAAGGGCGGATGCTACAGGGAGCCTTGGTGGGGAAGGTCAATTTCGACAATGCCGGGATTCCCTCCAGAGTCGACCCGTCCAACGCCCACCTCAGTGCCGGACTACTCCGTAGTTGACAAACCCGCTCGCCATAGGGTGAACTGCTGCTATTTTCGTCCATCAAGTCGTGTTGCTCCGCCCTTCGCTTTTAACCTAATTCGCCGGCGCCGTCGAGCGTGGCGACGTGGTTGCTGGCAGTGGGTGTAGTCTAGAGGATGAGGCGTGGTGTAAGTACGAGGGGATCAGCCGCTGGACCGAACACGGGGAGATACTACTTACAATCTTCACTTTCAACTCCGATCTTCTCGTTCTTCTTCAGCCCTACCTCTGCTGAACGGACAGTTAGTTGGGGGCTGAGTCCAGAGGCTCTTGACTCGTAGCCATAGTTCATCCCATTTGCGCGTGGTTCTAATGAGGTAGCCACACTTGTATTCGTACTGTGGCAGCCCCTGTCATGCCTCTGTTCACTCTGTTAACCTTTGCAGCCCATTTGTTTGGCTTCTTCCAGGGCCCAATGCCCGGAGCATCAGGCGACTTATTTGCGAAAGCGAGTACAAACCACCAAACTTTCAGCACACGATGATTGTCAATTCAATGGCTCCAAGGCTATACATCTTTGAACGTTCTTTGGAATGAGATTGTCTCCACATAGTTATAGAGTAAGGCTTTATTTACACCAAATCTTGACATCTCTACTGTGTCTTCACAACAACCTCAACCCCCTCGAGACCCGCACCAGAAGCCGTAACGGTGATGTCTCCAGCAACACCCTCCTCAGATCGCACAATACCCAACGCAAGACCGCTATACGCCTTGCGCACCAACGACGGGAACGCAACCAAGTCCGCCGGGTCACCGTTATCAGTCGCAACAATCTCACCAGGTCCGCTAACAGAGAAGGTAATCTCATCGTCCGCGAACCTCACAACGTCGCCGTTCGCATCCAGCACCTCAACAGTAACAAACGACAAGTCCACGCCATCGGCCCTGATCGTCGTACGATCCGCAGACGCGCGAAGCTTCGCCGACGCACCAATAGTACGCACCGTCGTCTCGGCCCACTCGGCGCCGTCTTTATACGTCGCAACCCGGATCTCACCGGGCTCGTACACGACGTCGTCCCACCGGAATCGGTACGTCAGCTCCGCGCGCGTCTGCTTGCCCCGCGAGACCCCGTTCACAAACAACTCGGCCTCGTCCGCCGACGTAAACACATGCACGGGCGTAACCTCGCCGACGCGGTCCTCGGGCCAGTTCCAGTGCGGCAGCACATGCGCAAACTTGACGTCGGGCCTCCAGCGCGCCTGGTACAGGAAGAAGCGGTCCTTCTTGAAGCCCGCGAGGTCGATGATGCCCGAGTACGAGCTGCGCGCCGTGTAGTACGGCGTCGGCTCGCCGAGGTAATCCCACCCGGTCCAGACGAACTCGCCCGCGACAAAGGGGTGCGTATCCTGCGCCTTGAAGACCTTGTCGGGCGAAGAGCCAAAGTTGGCAGAGTAGAGCTCGTACGCGCTGACCTGCTGCGAGGTGGAGTTGCCACCCGAGGTGTCGTTGACGGGGGCGCCCGTGTTGCCCGTCACGGGGAACATGTAGGTCCCGCGCGTGCTGAGCGCCGAGGCCGTCTCGCTGCTGAGAATCATCTTGTCCGGGAAGGCCTCGTGGAAATCGGCGTACAGGGGGTGCGTCCTCACGCCCGGGAGGAAGGAGTAGTTTGGTGTGTCGCGGATGCCTTCGCCCTGGTAGTTTAAGCTGAGGACGTCCATAGCGGTAGGGAAGGACATGTTCGGCTTGGCAAAGTTCATGGATGCGGTGGATGGCCGGGTGGGATCTTCCTCGCCCACGATGCCGTGAAGCTCGAGCGCGGGGACGGTGCCCGGGTCACCAATCTGCTGCTCCGAGACCTCGTTGCCGAAACTCCACATAATGACGGAGGCGTGGTTGCGATCGCGGCGCATCATGGCACGCAGGTCTGCCTCGTGCCAGTCTTCAAAGATGAGGTGGAAGTCGTTTGCCGTCTTGTTGCGGTACCACGAGTCAAACACCTCGTCCATGACAAGGAACCCGCGGCTGTCTGTCAGTTCGAGGAGTTCCGGGGCGGGCGGGTTGTGAGACATGCGGATGGCGTTGCAGCCGAGCTCCTCGAGAACCTCGAGCTGGCGCTCGGCGGCGCGGGTGTTGAAGGCTGCGCCAATGGCGCCGAGGTCATGGTGGTTGTTAACGCCCTGTATGAGGACGTGTTCGCCGTTGACGAGGAGGCCGCGGTTCGCGTCGTAGGTCACGGTGCGGATGCCGAAGCGGGTTTCGTAGGTATCAACGACAGCGCCAGCGAGGCTGACTGTCGTGATGGCCACATAGCGGTTCGGTTTCTGGGTTGGTGGTGGGCCCCAGAGAAGGGGAGATGTGACAATCGCTGAGCCGTTGACTTGTGCTTTGCTACCGGCCGTGACGGAGGTTGATGAGCTGGGCAATTCGGCTACCTTGACTCCCGGCTTGTCGGTTGAGGCGTCGAGAAGGTGGATTCCGGTCGAGACCTCGACGTCCTGGTCAGAGTCACCCTTGTTCTCGACCTCTACCACCAAGTCCACGGTAGCGGACTCTGAGGAGACGTCCTTTGTGACGATGTAGGTTCCCCATTGCGCGACGTGGACCGGGTTCACCTTTGTCAACCACACATTGCGGTAGATACCACCTCCAGGGTACCAGCGGGCCGAGTCAGGAGGGTTATCGAGTCGGATGGCAAGAACATTGTCTTGTCCAGCCTTGAGGTGCGCCGTGAGATCGAGGCGGAACGAGTTGTACGGGTATGGCCAGCCACCGACCAGGTAGCCATTGAGCCACACCATCGCGTAGGACATGGCACCATCCACATCGAGGAAAATGGACTTGCCCTCATCCTCGGGGTTTACCGTCAACGAGCGACGGTACCAACCCACGCCATGTACAGGCAAGCGGCCCATTCCACCACCAATAATGGGATTCTCCTCGGTATAAAACGGGCCCGCGATAGCCCAGTCGTGAGGGAGATTGACACTCTCCCAAGATCCATCGTCAAAGCTCGTCGAGGCATACGAGACATTGCGCGAGGGCTCGCTACCAGGGCGCTCGTAGTGCTTAGCCGGGTCGTTGATGAAGTCATTGGCTGACGGCAAAATCCAAGGCTTCAGCGCAAAGGTGTCAGTGAGGTTCTCGAGGTCCGGACGCTGGTCGTAAATGAGGCCGTCCGGATTGAACTCTGAGCGCCAAAAGCGCCATCCCTTGTTGATGCTCACACGCTCGCGGCCGCCAGTGGTCGGCGTGGACGAGTTCTGTCGGGGCTGGATGGTGAGGGCGTTCGCGGGGCTGAGGATGAGCAGCAGCAGGCTCAAAAGAGTCAGCCCGAAGGCTCGCGTCGGCAACGAGGACCGCCGTGAAGTCGTCATCATCTTGAGAAGTGATTCTGAAGTGACTGTGACATTGTGATACCACCATGGCGCGCCCTACCATATTGTCTTATATGGTAGGCCATGATGTGGTGTTTATGTTCGTATCCCGTCGGCCAAGCTAGGAAACTTTTCCTTGACTTATTTCCGCCCCATTGTTCGGCGACGGATTCCTAGTAGACTCCACGAACAGACCGGGAAACCCTCGCACCAGTCCATCATCCCTCGGCTTTGCTTGACTATTGTTGATGGGGAATCACCGAACCATGGGGTCCAATTTCGGGTGAAAAGACTCCAGGGCCTCCGCACCCCGCGTTTCTCCGCACGGTAGTACGACGGTACAGGGGTCCGGGGCGCTCATCAACGGCAATTCCACGATGCATTTAGCCTGAATCTCTGCTTTGATGTGGTCATTGGGCCGCCTGTGACCGCTAAGAGGGGGCCGAGGGGAATATTCTTTGGAGTTGGCTGATCCCCTAGGCGGAAGTTAGTTAAAAAGCTCTTGGGGAGTTGGGGATCGCCTCTGTAGTCAGTGTCTACCCCCACCTCCCGGTCATGACGGAGTCATGGCATTCTTGCGTGCTGATTTTACCGGTAGAATATTTCCTCGCGTGATGAGAGAAAGGAAGGGTTCATGTTCCCACCATGTCGGGTCGATGGAGCAAAAGACCAGGCTAGCGCGACATATAATAATGTTAAGCACTCAATGCATCCTTACGGCATGTGGCCATGAGTACAGACTATGTCCCAGATGCCTGTCCGCAACTTGGACTCTCTCTAGTGTCTACCGCATGAGAGTCTCTACTACTAGGTCAAGTTGTTGTGATGGCATCATCTCAATAATTTCGTGGGTGCGCACATTATTTCTGCGCAGATACGAGATGCCAGAAGCAGGAGATTATGCACGTTAATCAGGGCATGTAGACCTGTCCCAAAATCTCACATCATGCTCGTGCAACGTCGACTGGGCTTATCATCAGGCTCCGTCCTGAACTCAATCGTGGCGGACGTGAGACAGTATTAACCTGTGCATCAATTGCCTCATTCTCTTCATTCTGAATGTTTGACTCAGAGCGTCGCGAGATTTTGGAGCGGAAAGACCGGTCACAGTGGTCTCCAGGAGATGGGCACCTTGCGTACCTGGAGGCATGGGAGGACGGTATGATCTCAACTTCCTCTTTGTGCCACGCTGAACAGTCGAATCCCTGCTGATAAGATATTACTTGGTAGGCGATTTTGAAGAGGTGCCTATACTTGCTGGAGCTCTAGAAGACTTCGAAGTTGATGAATGGCTTCGTCAAAGGGGCAGATTTTCACCCGTAGGCCGACAGTCCCGTCCAAGGGCGCAAGTCCGTATACTGCTATGCGAACGCCGAGGCTTTCGGCCTCTATGGTTCGCTATGAGCCGTGAATCTTTTCTATCGGTCGAACACGCCATCGGGCTGCCCTCTGTGTCTCTATCGATATTGGAGAGGAGCACTGGAAGCCAGCACGCTCATCCAAGATTCAAGGAAGACTTCAGCGGTGGGCCGTTACCCTCGCTAGAGTCATTAGGTACGGACATTATAACGACATGTCTACTACACGCGAGTGATCAATTGATGACGTTCAGTTCCAGTCCTGACGATCAAGCAGCCTCAGCTGTTCCAGCTCGGAAATCTGGGCATGGCGATGTCCCACCATTTTGAAACCCGCACAACTCTTGCCTTCATTCACGGCTGGGACATCTTCTCTGACAAGTCAGTAATTACCAACAAACCGATTGTACCTCACATCGAAGCTATCCAGGAGATGCTCAAGTCATCACGCAGACTTCTATCCCATCCCCTACTTCTTCCCGTCATGATTCTTCGCCGGCACTTGACCAAAGCAGAGATCATGAGAAGACAACTGAGCTCTTTGACGGCGAAAATTGAAGAGGATATTGGGGTCACCAAAACAGCTCGGAATTCCGGGGACACCGTCCAACATCGACGCATCGAGGACGACGTAAACAAAATGGTCATGAGCGAGAAGTTGAGGATTGAAACAACCGCACAAATTAGCACCACGGTCACTGATGTAATTAACATGAAGGGGACTCTCGAGTGGGACGAAGCATACGTCAAGTTTCTCCGCCGGGTCAACGACGATTTTAAGGCTCGCCGTCGCCAGGGGCATACGCCATCGGAGGCAGATCTGGAGCTGTGTCGCTTCATCGACCTCCTGGAGCAAGATGCACAATCTATCTCATCATATGCTACCAGGATGCAGTACAGGTTGGACCTTCAATTCAACGTGGTAAGAAATTTTGAGAGATATCGATGAGATCTAGAGTAAAGTCAACAACATCGCTAATGTTTGACGCACGTCAGCTCTACAATTTCGTCGGCCAAGCCGGAAATATCCTCAATATGCGGCTATCAGCACAGGCCGGGCAAGTCGCAACGCAAGCAGGAATGGACAGCACAGCTATGAAGACAATGGCAGTAGTAACGATGGTTTTTCTCCCTCCAACCTTTGTAGCAGTAAGTGAAACCACCTCGTAGGATTAAGATGTCCAGCACGGCACATTCTCCAGTGCTGAAGCGTCGCTGACCAGTCTCCTCAACAGACAATATTCAGCATGTCCATGTTCAACTGGCAAGCTTCATCATCAGGCGGAGACGGCGGTGGTGCTGAGCCCATCGTTGTGCCACAATTTTGGATCTACTGGGCCGTCAGCTTGCCCTTGACCATCGCCATCGTGATGGGCTGGCGAGTGTGGTGGCATTTCCAGAAGGCTTACTATGAGGCCAAGTTCCTGAGACCACAAGAAGACAAGTTCTTTGAAGACAGGAGCCGTGACAAGAGCCGCGACGAGACTCAGGACGTAGGTCCAAAGCGACGGTCACGATATGAAGTAAGGGATGACAATTTTCCCTAGGCATTTGAGCACTTGGGGGAATATGTTTTTTATTAAAGTCTTTTTTCATATCGTTGAAAACGCGCATTCGTATTCGTAAAGTCCGTTGAGTCACGCTTTAACGCTCCTATGTATAGATTGGCAGAAGCGCTTGGCACCTATGGCGTGCTTTCAAGCACGCTAAATATGATATACGCCCGATACGCCGGACTGGTTTGAGATGTGCCCTATGATCATTGTCGATGTCTTTACGATTTCGTTACAATTTTTAATAAATTTGCATAGTAGAATACTCCCCAGCCTTTCTTGGATGGACACCTACTAGTTAACGACTCCCGGCTTGAACCCTCTACCTCGGCCTCGGCTTGCTTGTACTTACAGTTTGACCGAGACCATCTGCCAATGTGGGGCCCTTCCGACGTCGATACCGGGGACCGGATCGAGAGCCGAGTTGAGTCACGTACTAAAGTTCCTTCTGTAGATAGCAAATACAGATATAACATGGCTAGTTTTTCTCTTAGCCTGGCTGAGTTTTCACAATTCATACCATACTTTAGTCATCGTCTTTCGTGAAATTCCAAAAGACAACGCCCAACTGTGGGACTCGTCATTCGAAAGGCGCAACTCCGAGCAATTTACAAAATCTACCCACGCACTCAACCAATAACATCATCCCGAGATACACGCCTCCGCCATGGCCTCGCCCAGCACCGAAATGCGGAATCGCCGCTGGACGAGAGACTCGTACCTCATCTCGACAGATGCATCTCTCGTCTCCGTCGCCCAGCTCAACGCTGCATTGGCGTCGGAAGCCGTCTACTGGACCAAAGCCATACCGGAGCCTTTCCTGAGAGAAATGCTACAAAACTCGCTCTGCTTCGGCCTCTACGACACCACCACTTCTCAAAAAGAACCCAGCGGCAGCAGCGACGCAGAGTCGAAGGAGTACCACCGATTGATTGGCTTCGCCCGTATCGTTACCGATTTTGTATCTTTCGCCTACACCACGGACGTGTGGGTTGACCCCACGCTTCAAGGCAATGGCCTGGGACGATGGCTAGTGGGACGCGTGCAGGAGGTGCTCGAGCCGATGCCGTACCTGAGGAAGAGCGTGTTGGCCACCGATAGCTGGGATAAGTCTGTGCCGTTTTACGAGAAGATGATGAAGATGAGCGTGATTGGCGGGCAGCCGGGAGGCCAAGCGATCATGCAGATGAAGGGAAAGGGAGCCCCCGGGTATACGGAAAAGACCGATTAAAAGTTCATTGCTGCGAGTTGTAGACATATGTATTCGGAGTTAGATCTATTTACATGTTACGCGCCGCACCTAGAAGACCAAATCAGACGAGATCTCTACGTAAGAACACTGTCCTTCGAATGAGCAAGTTGCCATCTGGATCCTTCTCCGGGAACCCGTAAAAGTTGTTGATGGTGTGTATCAGTTTATATCCTCTCCTCTCATACCAAGCATGTGTCGGCGTCTAAGTCAAATCATCATTGTCAGTCTGACACAACTCGTGCCTATATTGAAGGCAGAACAGTCAACTCACGGGCGGAAGTTTTCCCTGCGCCACAACCATGGACTCCTTCCTCAACTGGTCCTCCTTGGAGACCGTATCCAACATGAGTGTCTTTGCGCACAGCGGCTCGCTGGTGGCCATGCTTTCAACCAGATCCATGGCGGCCCTGGCGATGCCGCAGCTCTGCAGTGCAAAAGATACATAGAGACTCTTAATCCAGTAGACGTTTTCCTTGGGGATCGGTAGGTTGAGGGGCGCCGCGGCGGGGTTGTCGATGTCGAGTGAGATGTGGCCGACGGGGTGGAATGATGCACCTGTTGGGGTTCGCGGGGTTGCGCTGATAAATTCTGCTGTATCCAGAATGGGATTCTTCTCCTGTGGGACGAATGTGAGTACTGAAGCACGGGAGCGGAGAGGTTTGATTGGGTTGGGATTGAACTGACTTTGGGGTATTCGGCGATGTGCTTTGCCAGCCTTGCCTCTCGCTCAGGATCCTCATCTGCAAGTACCTGTGAGCGCGGTTAGTAGATGCACTGCGATGGAACATGACGGTCAAGATGGGGATCGAGAAGAGTTGCGCCAATCTCAATGATTCGCTGTGTTTAGCAACTCGAATAGCACCCCCTTTGTGAAGATAAAAACTTACAAGCCAGTAGATGCACTTGAATCCGGTTCGTTGGTTTTCCTGCCATTGAGGCACTAGGTCCGAGGCCCAGCCGCATGCTATTCTCTGATCTATCATTCTCGTGACGTGGTCCGGGGACTTGGGATCCCAAGGGATCAATTCAACTTTGGCTCTCGACATTGTGCTGACACTACCTCTTTCGCGCCCAATCGAGGTAGTGGGATATCCTTGATCAAAATCCGGGAGAAAAACACAAGCCGTACTGTCGGTTTAAATGAGAGGATTGGGGTTCAGCTTTAAATTAAGAAAGTGCACTTTGAAGGAATGTCGTGACGGTGAGTCATTAGTAAAATGTAGCCTAATTCCCTCTGGATTACCAGACTCTCGCTCTTTGATAATTAGGTATGTTCGGTTGGAGACGGTCGGCGGGTCTGGAGAACACCAAATTCACTCGGCCGGCTTCTTGGAACCTTCTTCGGCTTCGGCCACTTGGAAACAACAAACACACACACACACACACATACACACGGGGAACCTGGGAAGGATAGTCGAGCCGAGTTACGTTAGCGTTTGTGGGGCGCTTAAGGACACAATCATCCCGCGCGGGTTATGGGTGTAGGGAGCAGAGAAAGGCCATAAGAAGCAGCTCGATAGTACTCCTCGGGCGCTCGTAAATCGTTTTGGGATGGCCCTCGAGGTAGCCAGGTAGTGTAGCACCTGAAATGAGGGCCAGCCGGCTACAGACAAAATCCACTCAACCCGCGACTGGTAAGCTTCCCGAACCCGAAGACTGGGAGTATCTTCATGCAAGACAATGTCACTGGTGCTTATATGTACGAACATGCCCCCGTCTAAACCAATGAACGACTTTAAAGATGCTCGTAAGAATGTGATTGATTATCTTGTAGGATCCATGTCGCTGCCCAAAAAACAAAGTATCTGCAACTAAACGCCCCCGTCCATTCTATCCGGTCATGCAAATGTTATGCTAAAGTCTACTATGAGGGCATCACCCACGACCCGTTTGAGAACCACGTCCCGGCCTGTGTATAATCTAGCGTCACACCGTCCTTCATGTACGCAAATCTAAAATACTCGGGAAGCACCATCTTGGCCTTCCTCAACCACACGAATTCGTTGTCGTTGGGGCCATCAGCAAAGTAGTACCGGAACCGCTCAACGTCATTCACCAGAGCGCTGATACCGTCAAACTCGGTAGAGATGTTTGGCGGTACAAGCCAGCTGAAGGTTACACTGGGCTCAAAGGAGCCCGTAGAGAAGATCGGCTTCGCAATCTGCGGGAGCAGCGAGTTGAAGGGCCCGTCCTCGCGCAGCTCATCGGGCGTCTGAAGAACCGAGTCGAAGCCCCAGCGAGCTATGCCGTTGACGAAGAGGCCCAGCAGCATGCCCTGGTAGAAGAGAGACGTCCGCGTTTGCATGCTTGTGCCGGGCAGTAGGCAGAATGCCATGATATAGTGGTGCACGCGGAGGTCGACGCCCGGGATTGAGACGCCGACGATGACGGCAGCTAGGAAGAGCGCATACAGCGCTAGGAACCGAGGTAGTCTTCCCTCGAGCCAGAAGAAATAGACCTGCTTGGCCATCACGAACGTCAGGATAATCAAGATGAGGGCCAGCGCGGGCTTGGCACCGGGCTGGTGCTCAATGTCGTGTGCCGTGAGGCGCTGGATAGGCATCCATCCGAAGGTGTAGTTCGACAGCGCGCCGAACCAGAACCCTCCCAACCAGAGCGTCGTCTTCTCGAACTGAGCCCTCAGATCCGTGAGGGTTCGTCTGACGCAAAGCCGATAAAGCACGGCGGCGCAGAAGAGTGCCGGCAGTAGACGGCCCGTGAACTTGGAGATACGATCCGGCAGGACGGATGCAGCGTGCCGTGACGCTGTGGGCGGATCGGAGCCGAAGCTGACGTGGGCGAAGATGCCGACAAATGAGACGAAGAACTGCCACACCGGGCTCGTCGTGAAGAGGGAGAAGATGGAAGTGAAGAACATGGATGTTGGGAGGAGAGCCTGGCGAGGGTCACGCTTGCCGCACTGGAGGGATGGGTCCGACGTGAGGTTGTACGACAGCGGGAAGTACGAGTCAAATGAGACGGTCTCGACGCCATTCTTGGTCGTGCTGTTGAACCCTTCGTGCTGACCGACGCGATGCAGACGGCCGCAGCCTCCGCTCAGATCCGTTACGATGCCTGCGTGGATCGCTGAAGCGCAGATCATGGAGTCACCGCGGTAGATCTCGTCGCCTACGACCAGCGGCTGGTAGACGATGTCCCGGTCACCGACAGCGTGGGGGTTCAAGAGCTTGTGAGCCATGCAGTTTGCCGGACACCTGAAAGAAAAGGAAGAGTTCGTAAAGGGTCGGCAGTCGGCGCCGTCTAGCCCGCACCCATTCTTGAAGCGCCAGAGGGTGTCGCCGCAGTCCAAGTTGATGACATCTCTACCGAGCTCATCCCTGATCGCCCGGGACGACGCGAGGGGAATGGAG